ATACCACAAATGGTAAGTCTCGATGACTGCAGGTACAATAGTCCCTTTATCCACAGGGGATAAGGTCCAAGATCCACCAGTGGATGCCTGAAACCACAGATAGTAAGTATTGAACCCTATATATTCCATGTTTTTCTTATACATAGTTGCCTATGATAAAGTTTAATTTATAAATTAAACACAGTAAGAAATTATTAATAACATAATAAAACAATTATAACAACAGAAGCAAAATAAGGATTACTTCAACACAAGCACCATGGTACAGCAATGATCATAACTGAGATGGCTACTAAGTGACTAAAAGACTGTTAGTACATAGGACAGTTGACACCCCAGGAGGGATGAAATGGGACTACATGAAATTTCATTATCCTACTCAGAACAGTGCACAATTTAAAACTTCATAATTGTTTATTTCTGGAAATTTCCATTTAGTATTTCAGACTGTCATGGCTGACTGCAGGTAACTGAAACTGCAGACAAGGGGAACTACTGTATTACCTACTCAGTTGTCAGGGTGCAGTTTGTGTCATCCCTTATAAGAAGGTAGTCCCTTCCTTTATAACGATGACTGTCCCTTGGTGATCTCTACTCCCTGCTTTTTCCTGCACAGAATCTGTAATGTTATTTTACACTTTTTTACTTGTCTTTCTTCAGTTGACAGGATTGACTAGCTTATTTATGTGTCTGTAGTACTAAATATAGTGTGGATGCCCAGTAAATGACTATTGTTATTAAAATCTCCTTCTATCACTTTTTCCTTCATCTGTTTTTAAATTCTATTGTTAGCTAGATGTATATTTTAGGATAGTTCTGTTTTCTTGATTAATTGACCCCTTTACTGTTGTTGTTAGGCAAGAAAAAAGCTTTCCAACTCTAGATGAGTGGTGGTAAATATAATTACTTCAAATACCTGAGGGCTATCGTGTAGAAGAGGTATGAGGGGTACTACCAAGACCCCTGGCTAGAGGGGTCTTAGTAGATAAATACGAGAAGGCTGATTTGGATTCAGTCCAAGAAAAAACTATCTAATAGAGTACAAACATAGAGTGCTGTTTCAGACAGTAGTGAACTTCCTGTCTCTGGACGTTGTAAGTAATGCTGCACAACAAACCAACTGAATGTCAGTATTGCAGAAGGGATGTAAGAAGGACCTCTGAGGTTTTGCCACAAATTGACAATATATGCTTTTGTGATTCCATTCCCAAAGAGGAATTTGAAATCTGTGTTGGGAAGAAAGCATTGCTAAAATAGTAACAGCTACTACCTAGAGAGTGCCAGATATAGGTACTGTACTTGTTGTTTCTGACCCTACAATAACCTAATGAAGAGTTTAAATGTTACATTACCAAGTGTACAGTAAAGTAGCTTGGAGAAGTTAAGAAATTTGTTCAGTATCATAGAGACCCAAGCATTCTGATTATAGAGCTCATACTCTTTCTGCTCTATGCTACTAAGCATGGTTTCTGCTAAGCTGCCCATGTGTTTCATTCTGAAAGGGTACTATACTTGCCTGTGCAGCGTGTCTATACCTACAGATAAAAGGGTCTATACTGGTAAATAATGGGTCGAAATGCAAGAGGCAGGCAGGAAAATGCCATTAAAACTTCCATGGCTTCTTAGTGCCCTAGACATAAAGTTTTTTGTTTTATTTTAATATATTTTATTGATTATGCTATTAGTCATCCCACACCCATCCCCCCTTTAGTTCATGTCCATGTGTCATACTTATAGGTTCTTTAGCTTCTACATTTCCCATACTATTCGTGCCCTCCCTATTTTCTCCCCACCATCTATACTTATTCTCTGTACCTTTTCCCCTTCTCTCCCCCTCCTACTCCCCTGTTGCTAACCCTCCATGTGATTTCCATTTCGGTGGTTCTGTTCCTGTTCTAGTTGTTTGCTTAGTTTGTTTTTGTTTTAGGTGTGGTTCTTAATAACTGTGAGTTTGCTGTCAATTTACTGTACATGTATTTTATATTCTTTTTCTTAGATAAGTAAGTCCCTTTAACATTTCATATAATAAGGGCTTGGTGATGATGAACTCCTTTAACTTGACCTTATCTGAGGAGCACTTTATCTGTCCTTCCATTCTAAATGAAAGCTTTGCTGGATAGAGCAATCTTGGTTGTAGGTCCTTGCCTTTCATGACTTGGAATACTTCTTTCCAGCCCCTTCTTGCCTGCAAGGTCTCTTTTGAGAAATCAGCTGACAGTCTGATGGGTACTCCTTTGTAGGTTACTCTCTCATTACCCCTTGCTGCTTCTAGGATTCTCTCCTTTATTTTAATCTTGGCTAATATAATTATGATGTGCCTTAGTGTGTTCCTTCTTGGGTCCAACTTCTTTGGGACTCTCTGAGCTTCCTGGATTTCCTGGAAGTGTATTGCCTTTGCCAGGCTGACGAAGTTCTCCTTCGCTATTTGTTCAAATAAGTTTTCCACTTGTTGCTCTTCCTCTTCTGGTACCCCTATAATTTGGATGTTGGAACGTTTAAAGATGTCCTGGAGGTTCCTAAGCCTCTCCTCATTTTTAAAAATTCTTGTTTCTTCATTCTTTTCTGTTTGGTTGTTTCTTTCTTCCTTCTGGTCCATTCCATTGATTTGAGTCCCAGTTTTCTTCCCATTGCTACTGGTTCCTTGTGCATTTTCCTTCATTTCATGTAGTGTAGCCTTCATCTTCCTATCTAATTTGTGACCCAAGTCAACCAATTCTGTGAACATCCCGATTACCAGTGCTTTAAACTGTGCATCTGGTAGAAGGGCTATCTCTTTGTTGCTTAGTTGTATTTGCTGTGGAGCTTTGATCTGTTCTCCCACTTGGGCTGTTTTTTTGGTCTTGTTGTACCTGTTATGCATGAGGGGCAGAGCCCTAGGTGTTCACCAGGGTGGGGCAACCCAGTTGCTGGGTTGTGAGGCTGTATGTGGAGGTGGGGTCAGAGAAGGAACAATGGCACTTGCTCAGCTCTCTGTCAGACTTCAGTCCCCTTCGCTGCTTCCCCCAAGCAAACTGGGCCCTTCTGGTGCTGATTCCCATTTGGGTGGGCTTGTATACATTCTAGGACCCTGTGGGTCTCTCCAAGGAACTCTCCTGTGAGGCTGGGAGTCTCTCCCTGTGCCTCAACTCCCAAAGGTGTTTTCAATTGGTGTTTTGAGGCTTTATTTCCTGGCACTGGGACCCTGGGTTGTGCAGTCTGTCTTGCTACCCAGTTTCGCCTGGTTTATCTGTGTGCAAATGTGGGCCCGCCCAGTCAGCCACCTTGTGCGCCATGCCCTGCTTTACAATCCGCTGCTTTGCTGGGTCTGCCAGCTGCCCCCTGTGTGCTCAGGGTCCACCCACAACTGTCTTGCACACCCAGTACAACCACTTTTTGTATCTCGATCCTTCTCCACCAGGACTGACTCTACCCCTCCTACCAGTCTGGATGAATGTGTCTGTCTTTTAACTCCTTGGTTGTCCGACTTCCATACAGTTCAATTTTCTGTCAGTTCTGGTTGTTGTTTTGTTTCTAAATTATTGTTGTCCTTAATTTTGGTTGTGTGAGGAGGCACAGTGTGTCTACCCATGCCTCCCTCTTGGCCAGAAGTCCTACAGTTTTTTTCTAAACTTTTATTTATTTATCTTTAAAAGGGAAGGGAAGGAGAGAAGGAGAGAAATATCAATGTATGGTTGCTTCTGGTGCATCCCCTGCTGGGAACTGGCCTGCAACCCAAGCATGTGCCCTGACAGGGAATTGAACCACGATCTTTTGGTTCGCAGGCCCATGCTCAATCCACTGAGCTACACCAGCCAGGGCAGTCCTATAGTTTTTAACTTGGCTCCAGGAGCCTCCAACCTTTCCAGTCTTCTAGCTATTTCTTCTGTTGCATCAACCACTCCCCCAACCTCCCATCAAGCTAAATGAGCTGCCCACACTCTTTCCTGCATCAGGGCCTTTGCAAATGCTATCTCTTTTCTGGAAACTTTCTTCCTCACTATTATCACCTCACTAATTCCTACCTAACCATAGCTTCTCCTCACCTATTCAATACAGGCTATTGGCCTCAGGCAGTCTCTCATTTAGTATCCTGTCCTGGAGCACAGAGGGAATACGGTCTTATGTCAGTTGTGTTTTTCCTGACTGAATGCTGAACAAAATGTGAAAAAAAAAAAAGGCAAATGGAGACCTATGATAAACGATGAGTTAGTGGAAGAGTAAAATAGGTTTGCTCCCCACCCCCAGTCTAGGCTTTGTCTACCCCTTGGTCTACGTGCTTCATGAGGGCACAGACCAGGACTGCTTTGCCAACCACTATGTATGCTTCCACTGCTTGTTCAATCTTTGGAACACAGTGTTCAACAAATACTTGCTGGTGAATGAATGTTAAATGTTATACACAAATTTTCCTTAAGTGTGAGTAGATGAGGGCTGATGGGATAGATGTGGGATTAGGAAGGGCATGGTAGGGGTTGAGAGTTTTGTTACAACAAAAGCCCTGGAGCAAGGGAAACTCAGCTGTTTAGAAGTAAGAACTCAGGAATTTGTTTCTTTATATATATAAGGATCTGCATGTATGATGCAAAATGGAGGATGATTTAAACTGATTTTGATTATAAATACTAGGTAACTATTAAAGTAAAAAGATAACTGAAATTTTCCTTTGGCAGGAAACCAGCCCCACTGACTACAGTAATTCTCAAGAACTTACTAATTAAGCTTAATTAGCAGGTAGCACAATTACGTCTATCATCAAACATATGGCAAATAAGAGAATGTGGGAAAGTGTTATGTAAGCTGTAAAGCACCTTACAAATATGACTGCTTGTTATGTGTCAGGTTACCGCTGAATTGAGTGTCAGATGACAACTATATAAACTCACTTTATATCTTTGTAGACTTCTTCAGGTACATGGCCATATGCTTGTGACTTTTAAGACATTATCAGAAACTTTGTTCCTAACTGACCTTTTTGAAAGGTTTCACTCATTTCTGGAATATTAATGAAAAATCAGCCTTACCTCTTTAATGTGTTTCTTAACTTTTATTACTCATAATCCTTGTGCTTTCTCATCTCTTCTGAATATACTCTCTCCAACTAGAAGGCTTTACTTTCTGTAGTTCATATTACTTTAAAAAATAAAAAGTAAAAATAGAAACATATACAAACAGACTGTAATGCTTTCTAAAACATACACTAATATTCCTGTCTGGAGAGAATTGCTGCTATATAATCATACATTATTTATGGTTCTTGCAAGAGTCTGATTTTTTCCCCCCTTGTTTTCCAGCATCAACTTGCCATCACACAAACTTGTTGAGAGAACTTTGTACATAGCTATTGATATTTGTGGTTAGCTGCTCAAGGCTACAAGTTGAGTGGACTACATTTTGTAAATCAGTAACATCAGCTGGACTAATTCAGGATCAAGACTGCAAGAAAGGATCCCCTGCCCCTTTGCCATGGCTACCTTCAACCTACACTCATGAAGAAATTACCAACAGCTTTAAAAGATTGCTTTCCATGCACAGATGTATTTGGCTTCTTAATTACCACTTGGAAATGTATATTTCATCTGAAAGTATATAAAAATAACTACCTCTAAATAATTTGCAGCATGAAAAATATATCCACATGCTGGAAACTGAGAAGAAAAAGGAGAGTTGGTGGCTAGCTCTTTAAACCAAGGATAATACTCCTTGGTGTAAACTATCAGAAATTTCATCTTCTTACTAAAGTCTAGGGGGTAATTTGTTTACAATATATAAGAATAGGCCTCACACCACCTCACCCCCAAAAAGAATAGTCCTTCCAGGTCATGAGACTATGTAAATGGAACTAAAACTGTAATCTGATTAATTAGGACAGTGCAAATGCTTACCTTTATATAGAGAATATTTCAGTTCCTCCATGAAGCTCAAGGTCAGAGAATTAGGAGTCAATTTCCAGCCTCTTGCCAAATCCAGAATGACTGGGCTTTTACTCATCTTCCAAACTTCTGAAACAGGAAGAGCTGTAAGATCTTTATTTCTGACCTGGCTGGTGTGGTTCAGTAGACTGAGTGTTGGCCTGCGAACCAAAGGGTCACCAGTTCAATTCCCAGTCTAGGGAACATGCCTGGGTTGTGGGACAGGCATGGTAGGAGGTCTGCGAGAGGCAACCACACATTCATGTTTCTCTCCCTTTCTCCCTTCTCCTCTCTAAAAATAAATAAAATCTTTAAAAAAGACTTATTTCTAATCTCTTACTAGCTCCCCATCCCAACCACCATTAAGAAAAAAAAAGGATAAATGAAAATTACCAGTATCTTAGTAGGGATAAGAACTTGAACATCCATCTCTTGATAAGCAGCTACAAAAAAGAAATGGCTACAAAGAAGGCACTGAATCTCTGCATCTCTATAGGGGACATTTTATTTTCTACGCAGAAGCATTTCCTTTGGAGAATCTCATTTTGTCCCATTCCATAGTAATTCAAATTAGTTTAGATTGTTCAGTAAAGTAGACTCTGCCTTCTCATGGTGAGCTTACAACCAGGGCCTGGTGAGTGCTTCACCTACTTCGCCACGGTAATTGTTCAGGGATAGAAATGTGGCCCAAGTCACATTAATCAACATCTTCCCTAAGACTTCTTGGTATTATAAGGAAAGATACATTCTCATTTTCTAGAGAGAAGCCTATAAGGACCATGGTAGCTTGAGTGTACAGGAGCTATCTTACCCCCGAGTGGACAGATAATGAGGCAAGCAGAGTTGAGGAAATGGAAAAGACAGAGTCCTGATGACATCTTTTAACCTCCTAGATCTACCTCTACCTCAGTTTCTCAGTTACCAAGGCATAAATTACCACCTATCCATTTTTTCTTCAGCTTGTTTGGGAACCAAAAGACTCCTGATACAACATGGACGTTTTATACAGGTAGAAGTGCTCCTTTTTGGAATTTAGAATTATATCATGTTGTGTAAAATTTTGACACTGTAGCTTCATATACATATTTTCTTAATGCATGACTTTCAGGATAATGTTTAAGAAAAAAACCTAAAGCCCTGGCTGGTGTAGCTCAGTGGATTGAGCATGGGCCCGCGAACCAAACAACCTCGGTTCGATTCCCAGTCAGGGAACATGCCTGGGTTGCAGGCCAGTTCCCAGCAGGGGACGTATGAGAGGCAAGCATACATTGATATTTCTCTCCCTCTCTTCTTCCCTTCCCCTTTAAAGATAGATAAAGAAAATCTTTATAAAAAGACTAAAATATAATATATAAGAAATGGATTTTAGACAAGTAATCCAATTAAAAGTGGGCAAAGGATATGGATAGTTCCCCAAAGAAGATATTAAAATGGCCAATAAAACACATGGAAAGATACTCAACATTATTAGTCATTAAAGAAACGCAAATCAAACCATAAGGAGATAACATTCCATACCCACTAGAATGACTATAAGGGAAAAAAAAAGTACTGGAAAAGATGTGGAGAAAATGAAACAAACATTTCTGGTAGAAATAAAAAGTGGTGTAATTGCTGTGGAAAACAATTCAATAGACTGTCCATACTACCCAAAGCAATCTATAGATTCAATGCAATGCCTATTGAGATACCAATGGTATATGTCAGAGAACTGGAACAAAAATTTATATGGCACTACAAAAGACCCTGAATGGCCACAGCAATCTTGAGAAAGAAGAACAAAGTTGGATGAACTATACTACCTGATATCAAACTATATTACAAGGTTATAGTAATCAAAACAGCCTGGTGCTGGCATAAAAACATATATATATATATATGCAGATCAACAGTACAGAATAGAGAGCCCAGAAATAAACCCATGCCATTATACTCAGTTAATATTAATTAATATTAATCAAAAACATACAATAAAGTAAAGATAGCTGGGAAAATTGAATAGATAAATTTAAAAAAGTGAAACTAGAACACCTTCTGACATCATACACAGTAATAAACAAAATGGATTAAAGATTTTTGGACTTCTGCCAAGATGGAGGCATAGGTGGAGACGTCATGCTTTCTCACACAGCCAAGTTTAGAGACAAGAAAATATTAGCAACAGAAAACACATCCAGAACACAGAAAATTGAACTTTTTGGAAGTCTGATAATAACGAATGCTTTAGCCTGACCTGTAAGAGGCGCAAAACCAGCAGCTGGCAGAGCGGGGTTGCACAGGAAAACTCGGTCAGACGGACTCAGGCGCGAGGATCCCAGGCGTGGGATTACAAAGGGTGGATCCAGTGAGCGACCTGCATATCCGGCGAGGACGCAGGGCGGCGGGTTGACTGTGGTGGCACATCCCTGCACAGAATGGCCAGCGAGGGAGTGGGCAGTGAGACGGGACCAAAGGAAACTGGGACTCAAATCAAGGGAGTGAACCAGAAGGAAGGAAAAAAATGACCAAACAGGAAAATATGAAGAAACAAGAAATCAAAAAAATGAGGAGAGGCTTAGGAACCTCCAGGACATCTTTAAATGCTCCAACATCTGAATTATAGGGGTACCAGAAGGGGGAAAGGAACAGCCACCAGTGGAAAACTTATTTGAACAAATAATAAAGGAGAATTTCCCCAATCTGGCAAATGAAATACACTTCTAGGAAATCCAGGAAGCTCAGAGAGTCCCAAAGAAGTTGGACCCAAGAAGGAACACACCAAGGCACATCACAATTACATTAGCCAAGATTAAAATGAAGGAGAGAATCCTAGAAGCAGCAAGAGCTAAGGGGACAGTCACCTACAAAGGAGTTCCCATCAGACTGTCAGCTGATTTCTCAAAAGAGACCTTACAGGCAAGAAGGAGCTGGAAAGAGGTTTTCCAAGTCATGAAATCCAAAGACCTACAACCAATATTGCTCTATCCAGCAAAGCTTTCATTTAGAAGGGAAGGACAGATAAAGTGCTTCTCAGATAAGATCAAGTTAAAGGAGTTCATCATCACCAAGCCCTTATTATATGAAATGTTAAAGGGATTTACCTAAGAAAAAGAAGATAAAAAAGATGAACAGTGAAAGGACAGCAAACCCACAGTTATTAACAACCACACCAAAAACAAAAGCAAACTAAGAGGACAGCTAGATCAGGAGTATACCATAGAAATGAAGATCTCATGGAGGGTTAGCAGCAGGGGAGTGGAAGGAGGAGAAGGGGGGAGAAGGTACAGAAAATAAGTAGCATAGATGGTAGGTAGAAAATAGATAGGGGGAGGGCAAGAATAGTATGGGAAATACAGAATCTAAAGAACTTGAGACACATGGTCATAAACTAAAGGGGGGAATGGTAGGGGTGGGGGTGTACAGGGTGGAGGGGAATGAAGGGGGAAATAGAACAACTGTAATGGCATAATTAATAAAATAAAAATTTAAAAAAAAGATTTTTTGTTTGTTTAGATTTTATTAATTTATCTTTAGAGGGAAAGGGAAGGAGAGAGGGAGAGAAATATCAATGTACGCTTGCCTCTCGTGCATCCCCTGCTGGGAACTGGCCTGTAACTCAGGCATGTGCCCTGACTGGGAATTCAACTGCTATCCTTTGGTTCACAGGCCTGTGCTCAATCCACTGAGCTACACCAGCCAGGGCTGCATTAAAGATTTAAATTAAATGTTAGACTCGAAACCAGAAAAACACTAGAAGAAAACAGGTATTGTAAAATCTTGGACATTTTTTATAGCAATGTTTTTTTCCGATCTCTCTGCTTGGGCAAGGGAAACAACAAAAAGTAAACAAATGGGACTATGTTAAACTAAAAAGGTTTTGCACAACAAAGGAAACCATCACCAAAATAAAAAAAAAAAAGACATCTCACTGAATGGGAGGACATATTTGCCAATACATCTGATAAGGGATTAATATTTAGAATTTGTAAAGAACTTATAAAACTCAACAACAAAAACAATCCAATTTAAAAATGGGCAAAAGGCCTGAATAGACACTTCTCCAAAGAGGACATATATATGGCCAACAAACATATGAAAAGATGTTTAATGTCACTAATCATCAGAGAAATGTAAATTAAAACCACAGTGAGATATCACAATGATGATGATCAAGAAATCAACAAATAACAAGTGTTGGTAAGGATGTAGAGAAAAGGAAATCCTTGTGCCCTGTTGGTGGGAATGCAGACTGGTACAGCCAGTGTGGAAAGGAGTATGGAGTTACAGTCATACCTCAGTACTCACTGGCTTCAAAACTCGTCAAATCCTGTAGTCATCTTATTTTGACTAGAAAATAATGTTTCAGCACTTGGTACTTGCTTGGGACTCGTCATACTGGCTAGAACTTGTATGAGTGACAAGCTTCCATGCAAGAGAAAATGCTTCACCATTCAGTATGCATCAGTTCTGGAACTCTTCACAAGTTCTGAAATGAATTAAGAAGTACCAAGGTTCCACTGTATTTCAAAAAATTAGAAATAGAACTGCCTTATGACCCAGTGATTCCACTTCTGGAAATTTATCCAAGGAAATCCAAAATACTAATTTGAAAGACTATATGCACCTTTATGTTCATTGCAGTGTTATTTATGATAGTCAAGATTTGGGGGACTTCCGCCAAGATGGAGGCGTAGGTGGAAACACTTTGCTTCCTCGCACAACCAAATCTAAAAACAACAACATTTTAACAATAATAAATGCAACCAAACCACAGAAAATCGAACAATACGGAGTCTGAAAACAACAACTGCTCAGCTAAACCAGTGAGAGGGGCAAAGCCAGGAGCAGAGTTGGTCGGGCAAAAAAGATCCCCTGAGCCGGGCAGCGTGCAGGCAGCCAAGGACATGGATGCCAGGTGCAGGGTAGCTATGGGTGGACCCAAGGAAGGCACAGACCCAGGGAAGGTGCAGCGCGGCTGGCTGTCTGCGGTCTCCCATTTGCGCACAGATAAACCAGTGAAGAGACAAGCATTGAGACAGACAGCGCAGGTGCCGGCGCAGGGCGGTGGGCTTGCACATTTGCACTCAGATAAACAGGCAGGGGTGAGTGGTAAGGCGGACCGGGAAAGTGGAGAGGACCGCCATTGTTCCCTCTCTGACCCCACCCCCACATACAGCATCACAAACCAGCGGCCTGGGTAGCCCCACCCTGGTGAACACCTAAGGCACCTCTCCTCAAACGTAACAGGCGCAAACAGACCAAAATATTATGGCTCAAGAGGAATAGCTCCAAGCCACAGAGCCAATACTTCTAAGCAATCAAGAGATAGCCAAACTTTCAGATACACAATTCAAAACACTGGTGATCAGTATGCTCACAGAACTGGTTGATTTTAGTCACAAATTAGAGGAACATATGAAGGCTAAACTAATTGAAATGAAGGGAAACGCACAGGAAACCAATAATAATGGAAAGGAAACTGGGACTCAACTCAAGGGAGTGGACCAGAAAGAAGAAAAAAATAAACAGAAAAGAATGAAGAAACAAGAATTCAAACAAATGAGGAGAGGCTTAGGAACCTCCAGGACATCTTTAAACATTCCAACATCTGAATTATAGGGGTACCAGAAGGGGAAGAGGAACAACCATGAGTGGGAAACTTCCCAATCTGGCAAAGGAAATAGACTTCCAGGAAATCCAGGAAACTCAGAGAGTCCCAAAGAACTTGGACCCAAGAAGGAACACACCAAGGCACATCATAATTACATTAGCCAAGATTCAAATGAAGGAAAGAATCCTAGAAGCAGCAAGAGATAAGGGGACAGTCACCTACAAAGGACTTCCCATCAGACTGTCAGTGGACTTCTCAAAAGAGACCTTACAGGCAAGAAGGGGCTGGAAAGAAGTATTCCAAGTCATGAAATTCAAAGACCTACAACCAAGATTGCTCTATCCAGCAAAACTTTCATTTAGAATGGAAGGACAGATAAAGTGCTTCTCAGATAAGGTCAAGTTCAAGGAGTTCATCATCACCAAGCCCTTATTATATGAAATGTTAAAGGGACTTGTCTAAGAAAAAGAAGATAAAAAAGATGAACAGTGAAAGGACAGCAAACTCAGTTATTAACAACCACACCTAAAACAAAAGCAAACTAAGAGGACAGCTAGATCAGGAGTAAGCCATAGAAATGAAGATCTCATGGAGGGTTAGCAACAGGGGAGTGGGAGAAGGAGAAGAGGGGAGAAGGTACAGAAAATAAGTAGCGTAGACGGTAGGTAGAAAATAGATAGGGGGGAGGCTAAGAATAGTAGGGGAAATATAGAATCTGAAAAACTTGAGACATGTGTTCATGAACTAAAGGGGGGGATGGTGGGGGAGTGGTGTGTAGAGTGGAGGGGAATGAAGTGGGAAAACAGAACAAATGTAATCGCATAATCAATAAAATAAAAAAATATATTAAAAAAACATTTGGAAGCAGCTCAAGCGTCCATTGGTAAATGAGTGTAAAAAAAGTTGTTATGTATTTACATAATGGGATACTACTCAGCCATGAAAAAGAAAAGGAACTATTACCCTTTGCAACAGCATGTGTGAACTTGGAGAGCATTACACTATGTTAAATGAGCCAGTCAGAGAAAGACAAGTACCATATGATTTCACTCATATGTGGAATCTAATGAGCAAAATAATCTAACAAAAAAAAATAGAGCCCTGACTAGTGTGGCTCAGTGGATTGAGTGCCAGACTGTGAACAAAAGGGTCTCTGGTTCAATTCCTAGTCAGAACACATGCCTGGGTTGCGGACCATGTCCCCGGAAGGGGGCAAGTGAGAGGCAAACACACATTGATGTTTCTCTCCCTTTAAGAAAAAGAAAAAACAAAACAAAATAGAAACAAATTCTTAGATAGAGAACAGACTGATAGCTGTCAGAGGGGAGGGGTGTTATGGGGCTAGGAGAATAAAGTGAAAGGACTAAGCAAAAAACAAACAAACTCATGGACACAGACAACAGCATAGTGATTACCAGAGAGGAAGGGGGGGAGAGAAGAGGTTATATGGGGGATAAATGGTGATGGAAGGAGACTTGACTTGGCATGGTGAACACACAATACAATATACAGATGATATATTATAGAATTGTATACCTGAAACCTATATAATTTTACAAAGGAATGTTATCCCAATAAATTAAATGAAAAAAAAAATGAAATCAAATTGAAAGTCCAGAAATAAATTCATACATCTGTGGCCAACTGATTTCCAACAAGAGTGCTAAGTCCATCCAACGGGGAAAAGACAGTCTCTTCAAAAAATAGTGCTGAAACAATGCACGTCCACATGCAAAAGAATGCAGTTGGACCCCTAACTTATACTATATACAAAAATTAAGTAACACCTGGCTGGTGTGGCTCTGCAGATTGAGCACCAGCCTGGGAACCAAAGGGTCACTGGTGCGATTCCCAGTCAAGGCACATGCCTGTGTTGCAGGCCAGATCCCCAGTTGAACACATGTGAGAGGCAACTACACACTGATGTTTCTTTCCCTCTCTTTCTCCCTCCCTTCCCCTCTAAAAATAAATAAGTAAAATCTTTTAAAAATTAACTAAAAATGAATTAACAACCTAAATATAAGAGCTAAAACAACAACAACAAAAAAACAAAAAACAAAAAAAAAAAAGAAAAAGAAAAAGAAAAAAAGCGCCCTGGTTGGTGTAGTTCAGTGGATTGAGCACGGGCCTGCGAAGCAAAAAATCGCAGTTCGATTCCCCATCAGGGCACATGCCTAGGTTGTAGGCCAGCTCCCAGCAGGGGCCAGTTCCCAGCAGGGGATGCACCAGAAGCAACCATACATTGATATTTCTCTCCTTCCCTTCCCTTCCCTTCTTAAAAAAAAAAAGAGCTAAAACTATTAAAGTCTTAGGAGAAAACATAGGGGTTTTCTTCATGACCTTTGATTTAGTAGTGGATTCTTAGATATTACACCAAAATCATTAAAAAAATAGATAAATTGAACATCAAAATTAAGATCTTTTGCACATAGAACATTATCAAATAAGGGAAAATACAACCTATCTTGAGAAAAAATAACTGTAAATCATATATCTGATAAAGGTGAGTGTGTCACTTGTTCGGAAAGTATCTGGCCATGTAATATGAAAAACAGACATTTACTGAAGAAGATACAAGATATAAGAAACATTGTACATAGGACAATGATGCCTCAGTCCCTTTCAAAGGAGACACCATGGGACCTCACACAGTTCTCCCAATTGATATCAGCTGCCCTGTCGTATTTTCCTTAATCTCATTGATGGTTTGAAATCTCTTCCCTTTGAAAGGTGATTTTAGTTTTGGGAAAAGCCAGAAGTCACAGGGCAACAAATCTGGGCTGTGGAGGGCTGAGTCACCTGGGTGAGTTGACATTTCTCCAAAACACCCTGCATGAGATGTGATGCATGAGTGCACATATTGTCATGATGAAGGTGCCAACCACCACTTACCCATAGCTGAGGCTTTCTGAATCATCTGAATAGTTTCTGTAGAGAAATGTTCAATCTTATTGCAAAATTTGATGTAGATTTGTTGCTCTACTTGCTCATTTTGTTTTTATCTTTTTTTTTATCTTGCTCAGTCATTTTGAATATGATGGCCACACAGTACACATGCTCACCCAGTGGTATCTACCACCCCCACTGACTAGTACAGTGATGTTGTCATTGTTCACACACTCGTTCCAATCCAGTCTCCCTGGCTGCCAAGTTACATTGATGTTGCACAAACCATTCTCATTATATTAACAATTGCTGGGCCTTTTCTGGACAGACCTCATATATAAAGAATCATTATTCTACAACAAAAGACAAACACCCCAATACAAAAATGGGCAAAGGACTTCACTAGATATTTCTCCAAAGAAGAGATACAGATGAGCACAAGCACATGACAAGATGCTCAACATCATTAGTCATAAGGGAAACGTAAAGCAAAACCACAATGAAATACTAGGATAGCTACAGAATATTTAAAAAAAACACAAAAAATATTTTTAAAAAAACAAGTATTATGGATCTGAAGAGAAAGAAACTACCGTACATTGCTGGAACAGATAAAAAAATGATTCAGGTGCTGTGAAAAACAGGCAGTCCCTCAAAAAGTTAAACATATAAGAACCATATGATGCATCAATTCCACTTCTAAGAATATACCAAAAAGAAATGAAAAAAAACCCCAACAAACTTATACATGAATGTTCACAGCAGTACTACTGACAATAACTGAAAGGTGGAAATAACCCAAATGTCCATCAACAAATGAATAGATAAACAAATTGTGGTACACACATACAATGTAATCTTAGTCAGCCATAAAAAGTAATAAAATTCTAGCCCTGGCTGGTGTGGCTCAGTGGATTGAGTGCCCGCCTACAAACCAAAGGGTCACTAGTTTGATTCCCAGTCAAGGCACATGCCTGGGTTGTGGGCCAGGTCCCCAGTAGGGGGCGTGTGAGAAGCAACCACACATTGATGTTTCTCTCCCTCTCTTTCTCCCTCCCTTCCCCTCTCTAATAAATAAATAAGTAAAATATATTTTTTTAAATAATGAAATACTGATACATGCTAGAACATGGATGAACCTCAAAAACATAATGCTAAGTAAAAGAAGCTAGACAAGGTCACACGTTGCACGACTCCGCTTATATGAAATAGCCCAAATCTGTAAATCCATAGAAACAGAAAGCAGACTGGTGATTTCCGGGGGCTCTAGGATGGTAGTAATGGAAACTATCTGCTTACTGGACACAGAATCTTACTTTTGGGTGATGAGAATGTTTTCGAAACTGGACAAAGGTAATGGTGGCACAACATTGTGAATATACTAAATATCACTGAATTGTTAACTTTAATTAGCAATAATCGCGCCTCGGATAAACCTCATTGGCTACGATACTGCCACTGCGCAAAGCTTGAATTGTTAACTTTAAAGTGGTTAATTTTATGTTATGTGAATTTCATTTCCATCAAAAAATTAAAATAATACTTGAGATAGAATAATGGTTGCATTTCTGGAAAGCAGTGACTGGTAGGGAACATATGAGGGTGCTTCAAGAGTGTTGGTCATATTCTATTTTTTGATTTGGGTGTTGGTTACCCAGGTGTGTTTGCTTTGTGAAAATTATTGAGTTTAACACTTGTGATATGTATGCTTTTGTTTTTTATATGCATCTTATCCTTTGATATAAAATTTTATTCAAAGTTAAAGGTACTATACTATATGTGTATAAACCTTAGAGACCTGAAAAACACATATCATTGCAAATACTTGTTCACAGATGTTCATAGCAACATTATTAATAATTGCCAAAAAGCAGCAATAACTCAAATCTCTATCAACTAATGGATAAACAAATGACATACAGTGAAATATTATTCTACTATAAAGTACAGTGAAGAACTCATATATAGTATCACATAGATGAACCTTAAAACATTCTGTTAAGTGAAAGAAGCCAGTCACAAAAGACCCCATATTGTATGAATACATTTACATGAATTGTCTAGGACAGGTAAACCCAGAGACACAAAGAAGACTGGTGATTGCAGTAACTTTAGGGTAGGGGATAATTGGGAATGTCTGTGTTTTTTTGTTTACCATGGTTATGGAAACATCCAGGAATTAGATAGTGGTGATAGTTGCACAATCTTTTGTTTCTCTCCCTCTCTCCTTCTCCCCTTCCCCTCTAAAGATAAATAAATAAAATCTTTAAAAAAGATATTAAAAATAAATTGTACACTTTAAAATGGGGAATCTTATGTGACATATATAAAGTTATATTAATTGTACTTGTAAAAATATTTTTAAATTTATTTTTGAAAGAGGGGAAAGGAGGGAAAAAGATAGGGAGAAACATTGATATGCGAGAAAAACATAAATGGATTGCCTCTCACAGGCCCCCAACCAGGGACCTGGCCTGAAACCCAGGCATGTGCCCTGACTGGGAAATGAACCAGCAACCTGTGGATCACTGGTCCACAGACCAGTGATCAACTCACTGAGCACACCAGCCAGGACAGTATTTTAAATATTTGATCATCCAAAATACATGTGAACTCTAACATATAAAAGAAGCCCAAAGGGAAAAACAATATTCTAACAGATATTCCCTTTTCCCCTTCCTATCTCCCAGATCAGCATACCTTGGAGGTGGACTTCAGATACCACTAGAGAATGGAGGTCTAGGCAGCAAATCAGGGGCTGGTTAGTAGGTGAGTTACAGTTAGGAATGAAAGCTGTGACCAATACTCTTGACTGCCCCTGAGCAGACGAATGTGGCAGCTGATCAGAAACAGGTCTTGGGCTGGAGCAAGAGAGAGAGTGGTAGCGAAAAATTGTTAGCAGCCCTGGCACCAGTCTGCTTTCCAATGCTCCATCCAAAGGTTCACGCCTTAAGAATGAATAGTCAACTGATACGAGCTCAGCAGCAAGAGCCCCTGAGACACTTCTTCCCCTTTACTTATTTTATTGCCGGTTTTGGTTGTATATTTTTAGTTCTAGTGTTATAAGTATTCCCAAAAGTTACCCAAATCATAGATATATTTGGGCAGTGAACTACACTTCCAAGACACTGAGAGTATGTGGATTGATCATATATTAGGAACAAACCTCGGCTAATATTTTAAAGGATTTATTTGGAGCAAGGGAAGCTCAGATTTAAATAAATCTAGAGTCTAAAGAACTCAGGTACTTCTGGCCAAGATGGAGGCAGAGGTAAATACACTTTGCCTCCTCACACAACCAAAAGAAGGACAACAACAGGTTTAAAAACAAAAATAACCAGAACTACCAGAAAATCGAGCTATACAGAAGTCCAACAACCAAGGAGTTAAAGAAGAAACATTCATTCAGACTGGTGGGAGGGGCAGAGATGGGCAGCTGTGGCCTAAAGGGTGCATGGCAAGGCAGCAGCTGGAGGACTTGATGGGCAAGGCAACAGCTGGTGCCCCCATATCTGTGTGCGGATAAACTGGGAGGAACTACTGGGGAGCAAGTTCTTCCCAGGCTTCCAGAACAGGGAAAACAGACTCAAAACCTCTGGCTATAAAAATCTGTGGGTGTGGTAGTGGCGGAAAAAACTTCCAGTCTCACAGGAGAGTTTGTTGGAGACACCCACAGAGTCCTAGAGCGTACACAAGCCTATCCACCTGGGAATCAGCACCAGAAGGCCCAAATTTGCTTGTGGGTAGCAGGAGAAATGACTGAAAGCCTGCTAAGAGCCAAGTAAGTGTCATTGTTCCCTCTAGGGCCCCTCCCCAACACACAGTGCCACAATGCAGCCATGTAGGTTGCCCCACCCTGGTGAATATCTAAGGCTCCGTCCCTTAAAACATAACAGGCACGCTGAGACAAAAAAATATGGCCCAAATGAAAGAATAGACCAAAGCTCCAAAAATAGGGGACTTCCAGTCAAGATGGAGGAATAGGTGGAAACACTGTGCCTCCTCGTACAACCAAGTTTAAATTTAGTAACAAAAATGTAACCAAAACACAGAAAATTGAACTGTACAGAAGTCCGGCAACAGTGAACCATTCAGCCAGACTGGTAAGATGGGCGGAGTCGGTGGCTCGCAGAGCAGGGTTGAGCAGGAAAAAGTGGCCAGACTGACCAAGGCGCGCAGGCAGCGGTTGGCAGATCCCAGGTGTGGGGTGGCAATGGGCAGACCCAGAGGGGACACAAGGCGGCTGGCTGACTACGGTCACACATTCACACTCAGATAAACCAGGCGAAGGAGCAAGCAGTGATACATACTGCGCAGGCTAGGGCCCCAGCAATGGAAATTAAAGCCTAAAAGCACAAACTGGAAAAACTTTCAGGGTAGAGGTGCCAGGAAAAGCTCCCAGGCTCACAGAGAGTTGTTGGAGAGACCCACACGGTCCTGGAGGATGCACAGGCCCACACACCTGGAAGCCAGCACCAGGGGGTCGGGGTTTGCTTTCGGAAAACAGCAGAGGGGACCAAAATTTGAGAGAGAGTGGAACAAAAACCACTGTCCCTCTCTGACCCCGCCCCCACATACAGCATCACAACCCAATGACTGGGTCTCCCCACCCTGGTGAACATCTAAGGCTCTGCTCCTCATGGGTAAAAGGTGAGAACAGAGCAAAATATTATGGCTCAAGAAGAACAGCTCAAAGGCCCAGAGCCAATAACTCTAAGCGATAAAGAAATAGCCAGACTCTCAGATGCACAGTTCAAAACACTGGTGATCAGGATGCTCAGAGAACTGGTTGATTTTAGCCACAAATTAGAGGAAAATATGAAGGCTAAACTAATTGAAATGAAGGGAAACGCACAGGAAACCAATAGTGATAGAAAGGAAACTGGGACTCAAATCAAGGGAGTGGACCAGAAAGAAGAAAAAAATAAACAGAAAAGAATGAAGAAACAAGAATTCAAACAAATGAGGAGAGGCTTAGGAACCTCCAGGACATCTTTAAACATTCCAACATCTGAATTATAGGGGTACCAGAAGGGGAAGAGGAACAACCATGAGTGGGAAACTTCCCAATCTGGCAAAGGAAATAGACTTCCAGGAAATCCAGGAAACTCAGAGAGTCCCAAAGAACTTGGACCCAAGAAGGAACACACCAAGGCACATCATAATTACATTAGCCAAGATTCAAATGAAGGAAAGAATCCTAGAAGCAGCAAGAGATAAGGGGACAGTCACCTACAAAGGAGTTCCCATCAGACGGTCAGTGGACTTCTCAAAAGAGACCTTACAGGCAAGAAGGGGCTGGAAAGAAGTATTCCAAGTCATGAAATCCAGAGACCTACATCCAACATTGTTCTATCAAGCAAAACTTTCATTTAGAATGGAAGGACAGATAAAGTGCTTCTCAGATAAGGTCAAGTTCAAGGAGTTCATCATCACCAACGCTTATTATATGAAATGTTAAAGGGACTTGTCTAAGAAAAAGAAGATAAAAAAGATGAACAGTGAAAGGACAGCAAACTCACAGTTATTAACAACCACACCTAAAACAAAAGCAAACTAAGAGGACAGCTAGATCAAGAGCAGAACCATAGAAATGAAGATCACATGGAGGGTTAGGAACAGGGGAGTGGGAGGAAGAGAAGAGAGGAGAAGGAACAGAGAATAAGTAGCATAGACGGTAGGTAGAAAATAGAGGGGAGGGCAGTAATAGTATGGGAAATGTAGAATCTAAAGAACTTGTGACACATGGACATAAACTAAAAGGGGGGGAGTGTTGGGGGAAGGGGTGTGCAGGGTGGAGGGGAATGAAGGGGGTGGGAAATGGGACAACTGTAATGGCATAATCAATAAAATGTATTAAAAAGAAAAAAAGCTCCAAAAATAGAACTAACTGATGAAGAGACAGCCAACCTATCATATGCAGAATTCAAAAAACTGGTAATCAGGATGCTCACAGAAATGGCTGAGTACAGTCATAAAATGGGAAAAAGCGAAGGTTATACAAAGTGAAATAAAGAAAAATATACAGGGAACCAACAGTGAAGGGTAGGAGAGCAGGACACAAATCAACAATCTGGAACAGAGGGAAGAAATGAACATTCAACTAGAACAAAAAGAAGAAACAAGAGTTCCAAAACATAAGGAGAGACTTAGGAACCTCCTGGACAACTTTAGGCATTCCAACACCTGAATCATAGGAGTGCCAGAAGAAGTGGAAAAGCAAGAAATTAAAAAGTTATTTGAACAAATAATGAAGAAAAACTTCACCAATCTGGTGAAGGAACTAGACATACAAATCCAGGAAGCTCAGAGAGTTCCAAAGAAGTTGGACCCAGGGAAGTACACACGATGGCACATTGTAGAGGACCGGTTTGTCTTGGCCTGGCAAATGTGACTCAGCTCTATATGGAAAACCTACAGAAGTGAAGTGGTGGGCAGGAGCCAGACCTTCAATCTGAGTTTTCGTGTGG